AAATATGCGTGGCTTTTCTGTTTGTATAGCTTGGAAATAACCCTGAAAGGAAGAAGTGATCACTCTCAACATTTAAAAAAGAAAAAAGAAAAAGCAGAGAACTTATGAATGAAAAATCAAAGGATAAGAAAAGGCAGGTGAGCCCAGCAGAGACAGACAAGCTGACCAAACACTACAAAAGGACGGTGCGTTGCATCAACGCTACTACCTCTAACTTTCGGCCTTCACAATATTGAACAACGAATCTTGTATCATCACCGGGCCCCACTCCCCCGCCAAGTGCGCTCTCGACAATCACCCACTTGTTTTTTTTTCCCACTTTGAATCTTAATAAATCTTGTTAATAGTTAATTAGGTATATTTATTTTTTAGATTTAAACTTTTAAATTGATATTTAAAAGAATTTCTTATATCCACGTAAACATACTATATTTATATATTAAAATAGATGCTTAATATAATCTTGAACATCAAACTTTAGCTCTCATTTATACATAAATTGTCATAAAAACACACTTGTTATCGTAAAAAAAAGACATTTTTTAATTATTAATAATTGTTATACTAATCAAAACTATCCAGTTTTAAACACATAAATTAATTAGGTTTAATTTATTTTTTAAAAAATAATATTATTTTAAAAAAATGAACTTATTCAAAATAAATCTTGAATTAACAGTGCATCCAAATTAATGTATTTTTAAAGGGTATTTTTCTCTGAGAATCTAAACTTTGATAATTTGAGATGCACATGCACATACCATCCGAGCTCCCCGCACGTGCATGTGTATGTCCCTCCCTTACGTGTATCAACGTGATCTGCTCGCCGCGTCCTGCTGAACCTTTTCTAATATTATAATTTATTTATTTGTATTTTCTACAAGGTCAGGCTCAATATCAAGCCCAGATTATTCGATATCCAGACTGGGGCCCATTAATCCAAACCCGATGATACTGCCGTTATTTTATTAATTTAAAAAACAAAAACACGTGTCAGCTATCAGGTTCTTAATTTTTCTTTTCTTTTTATGTTTGTCCAATTTTTCGTTTAGGGTTTTTCCAACCCTGTAAACTTTGATCTCTAAATTGTTCAAAATTCTCGCGCGCAAAATGGATGCCGAAGGTAACCCGCTGATTTCACAATGGCCTTTGTTGAATCGGTGTTTGACTTTCTGTTGCGATGTGATTAAAGTTGATGTATTTATTTTATTGTTTATAATTAGGGCTAAGAGGGTCTTCAAATCCAGCTGCAATGCTTGCTAATCTTTTAAGCAAAAGAGCCAAGCTGCATGATGAGCTTCGTATTATCGAAAAACAGGTTCTTTATTCCTTAATTTTACTATTAATTTGAATAATACTCTTAAATTTGGTGCTGCCATACTGTTTTTCTTTCTGGGTTCTGCAGCATTGCCCAAAGTTTCGACTCTTTAAGCAACAAGTTGAATTTTTTGGCAGAAATTTTCTCTGGTTCTGTTTTTTTATGCTTGAGTTGGTCAGGTGGAACTAGGTTTATATCATTTTTGTTTTGATTATAACAAGGAAGCATGTTCTTGATTCAGGTATATGATTTGGAGACAAGTTATTTGCAGGATCCGGGGCAGTGTGGCAATGTATTGAAAGGTTTCGAAGGGTTTCTATCTTCATCTAAGAACACTGCACTGTATGGAGTGGATATTATGATTTTCATTATTTCCTCCGCTTTAATACAAATAGTTTTTCCACCCTTGTCTCTATTTGTGAAGTTCCTATTTTGATTTTTTGTTCCTCCTTGTATGTTGATATTTGAAGTCATGCATACAAAAATTCATGTGACATAGATACTTGTAATTTGCAGAAATTTGATTGGTGCCCTTGGTTATAGGTCATGAAAATACTTGTTGCTACAATAACTGATAGCACAAAAAAATGACACAGAGGGTGGACACGAGCAATTATTAGCTTCCTAGTTATAATGAACGAGTGCGAAGAAAGCAAACAGATTTATCTTAGTGTTAATGAAAGCCATATGACTGAGGTATAGGTAATGATGGATCACAGCTTTTTCCTGTGAGGTTGATTATGTGTAATAGGGAAGCTTTGACATGTGAACCTATTATAGACAAACGAGAATAGATGCTTTACATTGTCTGGTCCCTTCTATACAGTAACATTCATAAAAAAGTGGAAGATAAAAACACAGCAACACGCATATATATAAATGCCTCCTTTGGGTTTTGAAAGGGATTTGGAAATATTACCTGTTTGAGATGTGGAGTCACTGGAGGCTTGTTGGGACACTTTTTATAATACTAGGAGTAATTCTAGTTATTTGGATATAGTGTTAACCCAATGTTGAACTGTGTTTGTTTGTACCCGATGCCTCTGACCCAGGATATGGTGGGATTCTTTGTATGCCTCTGACCCAGGATATGGTGGGATTCTTACACAAGGTCAAGATAACAAAGAACAAGTATTCCAGTACACATTCGTCCACTAGAATAATTGCTAGAAAAATTACTCTACTATTAAAATACAAGATAACAAAGAACAAATATTCCAGTACACATTCGTCCACTAGAATGATTGCTAGAAAAATTACTCTACTATTAAAAAGGAGATCCTTTCAATGGTTCTTTGTATTATAAAATTTCAAAGTAATTTATTAAATCAAAAATTTCTTTTACGTATTGACTGCAAATTTGCAAAAGAAGTTTTACAAAAAAAATCCAAAATCTTGTTTCAAAACAGATTTTTGCTCAATGGATATATATATGCGTGTTGCTGTGTTTTTATCTTCCACTTTTTTATGAATGTATGCATATACATTTTGGATTTGGATTCGGGTGGATCACCATGCATATTATGTAATTGACTTCAAGCTTATAATCGCAGCTTAAAGCGGTCTAGGAAGTTCCAGCCTGAAGATAGGCTCTTCTCATTGTCTTCAGTCACCTCACCAGCAGTATGTGTTATAAGTCTTAAATGCTTAGTAATGGCAGCACTTCCAATTTTTTTTTATTTTCTTTCTCTTAACAATATTTTTCTTTCTGTCCTTATAAAGGAGTTTCCAGGGATGCTCAATGTATATGCTAGGAAAAAAAAAAGGAAAAGGAAAGAAATGGAAACCAAGACAAACTGAAAATAGTCATTTATAATGAACCTAATTGCTTGAGAGATGGTTCTAACTTAGGAATTTCTCTTTTGAAAGATACGGTGTTTTGCTAAAGCCGTGCCAAAAGGTGTATGAAATGCCTTGTAATTCGGGTGATGAGAATTCTGAAACATGTGATTGGTGCTTTTCACCTCACATTGAGTTCTCTGAATGTAAAAGGGATCTATTAAAAACTGACATGAAGTATCCACAAAAGGTTGTTTTTTCTTGAAAAAAGCTTCAGACTAAAGCACAAAAAAATTGTCTGTCAGCATCTGAACTCATTAACAACTGGAAAAAAAGACCAGATGGTTTACACATGACAACCATGCCTTCATGAATTTTTGGAGTTTTATTAGTCCTGGTGTATATACCTGTATGACAAGGCTGCTATGACCCTGATGCTAGGGCGTGCTTGGGTTTGAGTTTTCTGGAAAGGTTACGGTGCAGCCATTTGGAATTCAAGCCATAATAGCTTGGAGATCGTATGGCAAGGCATTCTGCTTTCCTTAAGAGTACCTCTACTATATGGAAAACTTGTTGAAGAAAATATTACTGCTCCTGAGTTGTTCATTAGGCATGACTAAATAGAAATGGGATCATGGAGTCTGAAAGTTGCATGTCATTTTGAATTTTATTTTGCTTTTACACAATCCTGTCTATGGTATATGTACCTGGTTTTTGAGATGCTGCCTGGTTTGGTGATAAAGCTCCATTGGAATCACTGCTGGATCATTTAGGCTTGAGACGTTCTTTTTGTTGACCTTTCAACATATCAAACAGCTTCTGATATTTCTCCCCAGACATAGGCCCGTTAGGAATTTGCTCTATATGTCACTCATATTTCCCTTCCACTTTACGTTTTTCAGGCTGAAGAACAAGCAGCTGGACGAGATGGTGAGCCATATAAAGAAATGGCACAACTTTGCTTCCTTTTTTTTAAAAAAAGAAAAACTAATGCTCCATCCTGTTTATCACAGAAGGGCGGTCAGAATATGGTGTAGGTCGATCCAAGGGTGGAGGCATATATGCAAACGGACAGTGAGTACTACTTAGATCAGTCTGAACCTTATGTTATAACTATAATCTATGGTTTATGAATTATTGGGATGACTTGTTAAATTTAAATGATGACATTGAGAATTTAGAATGTGACAATATATAGCTTCACCTGATTTATTTTTCAGAGGAAAGCCAAAGAAGGGAAGAGGTGCATCAAGAGATACTAAAAGAACAAGGCCTTCAGCTGATCCAGATTTTGACTACGATGATGATGCAGATTTGACATTGTGAAAAGTTGTTGCGTAAGATTATATGCCAGTTGGCCATTGCATGGTCTCTCGATCCTAGATGAGAATTCTCCACAGAACCTCGCATCCGTTGAGTAGTTCAAGGCTTCAAGCAGACAAACCTACTTGTACTGTAATGCTTTGTTACAAATGATCTACATCCTAAAGCTGAATTAACAAACCCACTTGCTCTATAATGCGTTGTTACATTGTCTAAATCCCAGAGATGAATTCCCTGTGTACATGCTACCAACTGTTGTTTTCGTCAAAGAAAAGAACAAACTTTTTCATTGTATCTTTGCAGCATAGTTGATAACTTGATATGTTAATGATATGATTAAATTACAGAACCTGAATTCAAGTGCTCCTTTTAAAGACGAATGACATTCTCTTGTAAAAGCTGAAGAAACTAGAGGTCCATGATTGTCTGCTTGAAAGTTGAAATTCAGTTCGATGCTGTTAAAATGAAATGGGTGTGTCCCTCTTGAATATCTGCTAAAACTCTAGTTTGTTTTTGAAGTATAATTTTTTATAAATTGATTTAAAAATAAAAAGGGGATCAAATCAGATACCCGCTATTGAAGAAATTCCGCCCTGATTCGATCCGACTGGGTTGAAAACGAAGATACAAAGTAAATTTTACATGAAGAAGATTTGGCTCGGCGTATTCGATCTCGTCCTCGCTTTTCTTTATTGATTATAACCACGGGCTCTTTACTTTATGTCGATGTCCTCTCCTAGGGTTCCTTCCCTCACTTGTTACTAGCAGCTCTTCCTTTATACCTAAGATAAACCTATTCTTTTTCAAAGCAAACACTCAAGAGTCGAAAGAATTCACAATAGAAAACAAAGTCAGAATAGTTGAATAGCTGCCCAAAAGCTAGCCACCTAGAAAAGAGATCGAGCGAGCAAAATCCAACTCCAGCCAGATTCATTGTCATCACTAGTTCAATACAAATGGACCAAATTGATGAAATGCGAGTGTAAAACATAAATATGAGGGTAAGTTTGATGAAATATTTTGTTAAGGGGTCATTTGTCGAATTATCATGAGCACATGGGCTAAATTGGGGGATAGCAGCTCGTCTCTATTTATGTCGGCGTTCAATTGATTTAATTATATTTTATTTCCTAGAATGAAGTCCTTTTTCCGATATTTTCAAACTCTAATTTCCTTTCTCTTTTATGCATTCTTACAAACATTTGGAGTGCGTGGTTGTTTCATTTCTGGAAAATAGTTTGATCCTTCTATTCCGTGTAACCGTAAGCCATGTGGACCAAATTAAATCCTGGGCTTCTTTAATTTTGATAAAAGAAGCCAATAATTATAATAAAGTTTGCAGCTTGGGGAGTTTAAGTTCAGCTTGTGACATTTGTATGCAAACAACAGGTTAATGAAGTTGATGATGCAGGACCAGTGTATCACAGAGTCGTTGAATCTTTCTCGAACAAGTTTTTTCCTTCAGGATATCAATGCAAGTTAGTTGGTATTGGCAGTGCGAACTTGGCAACTGTATACTCACAACCGGGCAGCTTTATTGTTATATATGGCTTATGAAAAAAAAAAAAAAGCCTAGTGTGAATGAGGGATATCTTAGATGCACGTGATTTCGTGCGCTGCAACACTTTTCTATTGTACACGTTTGTTGTGTTATTGAAGAAATACGAGCCATCCCTGTTAATACATTGAATCCACAGAGGACGGCAATGGCTGTGGGTGATTTTGTCAAGGTTTGTTTTACAGTTCGGCATGCCCTGCTTTTGCTTTTTTATTTCCACCTGACTAATCTCGTCTACTTTCATCTAACTCAGACAGGGAAAATACGAAGCCCTGCAGATCTTAGATATCGTGAAGATCTCTTGTTCCCGGGAGGATTTGTAGAAGATGCTGGCAATGTAAAAGTTGGACAGGCTTTGTACAGAGTGGTGAAGCCTTCAAAACTTAATGAATTGAAAGAATTATTTCCTGAGGAGAAGTTTATTCCAAGTCCTGGAAATAAATGGATTGATTTAGTATTGGATCAAAACGCCACTGGTGAAGATGCACTGAAGGGATGGCTGGTTGCTGCATATGCTTTGAAGAAGTTTTCCCATGAGTTTAGTGCTTACGGCTTGTGAAGATGAATGGTGTATTCAATCCATTTTTATCCAAGCTGCAGGCCAAAGGGTGGCATACAGATCGTTTTATTGATGGAACAGGAAGCTGGTTTTCATGGTAGCATTTTATAGTTTTGGGTAATATTTCAATCCCTCGAGATACGAAGAATCTCTGTTAAGAGTATAACTGAGTAGGCAGCCAGTTAAAAACACTTTTTGCCTTCTTGCCTTTACGACTTTGCATCTGTGCTTGTTTAGGAGGGGAGCAAATTCTTTTTCCCCTTGAAGCTTTTTCTTCATTTATTTTTCCTGTCGAGCCTTCATAACCTCATTAGCGAAAGGGTCCTAGTGAAGTTGAGATTGAAGGACAGAAGTGAGTTCAATCTCCAACTATATTCAAAGAGTTATCAAATATTGTTGGACTGGAACACCGACACAGGAAATATATTTGAATAAAATATGGAGTTTAATAATCCATCAATTGAAAACAACACGACTTCATTTTCTAGCCATTATCTTTTGCAGGAATTCAAAGCGTAAGTGCGATTAGACGTAATAGCAGCCATCTGATGATGCATCCCCCTGCAACTTTAAGTTCACAAGGGGAGGAACTGTAATAATAAATGAGCAGCAGCCAGTATAAAATCAGCAAGATTCTTCGTGAATGGAACTTGACTGCGAATGAACTATTAAGGGGCTGCTCGAGGTCCTCGTGTAATTCAAGTTTTATAATTTTAATTTTTTAATTAGTTTTTTTATATTTTTAAATCGTTTCTATATGATGATATAAAAATAATTTTTTAAAAATAAAAAATATTATTTTCATCAATTTTTAATAAAAAAAAATCACTATGACAAAACTATTTTATAAGATGAGAATCTCCGCCTCTTCATCTCTATTATAATGTGAGCACTGCCTAACATTTATTAAACGATAATGATAATCAAGTTCATAAGATTTAATTTCAGTTCAGAAACTCATACTTTTATGAATTATTTTATATTTTTTCCCTTAAAAACTCAAAATATTTTGAATGACCTGGCTCCTAATTTCAATCTGCCGTCCAAAACGCTCGAGTATTCTAATTCCTCCCTCGTCTTGACAAGTGGGGATATACAAATTTCTTTGAAAACTAATGCTATCTACCACATAATGCCTTCTTTCCCCTTTTCAGATTTGTAAAACAAACAAAGCATATCTGGCAAATTTTCCATGTGTACATCTTTGATTGAAGACTCTAATTTCTTGCAAAGAGGCGAAGTGGGCGATGAAGAAGAGTCTGCATGGTTGACTTGATGCTATGATACAGGAAGGAGCAAGTGTGTAAACTGCCTACCCCATTCCCATTAGACCACGGCAGTATAACTAGTAATCATTATCAGTGTCACCATGCACAAGTCATCGTCTTGCACAATGAATTGGGCCACTGCACGCATTCAAGTCCAATTTTTCTGGAAAAATTACACCTTGGTAAGAATTCTTATACAATTACAGGCGTTGAAAAAGTTGAAAAAACATCTGGAAAATAATATAGATTGAAAACAAAACTGTTTCTGAACTGCAGTTTTGTATATAATTGTTGTTGAAAATAATGGTTGTTTTAAGAATTCATATCCCATTTAAATTCATCAACATGCATAAAAAGTTGAAAAAACCCATTTGTTTTTAAACTTTTCTATTTTCTAAATATCTTTTCAACCTGTATTATTCTCCCAAGATTTTTGCCAAACTGTCTTAGAGTTGTAAAATACACATCAAAGTCAGCCTAAAATGATCATTGAGAACCAACCTGAAGCTCGATGATCTTCGAGTCTTTTTACATCCGCTGCTAAGTGGATTTCTTATACCCTAACATTGACAGCTGCTTGCAACCTTTACATATCGTAATAGAAGTTTCGTTACTTTTGATAACCCCTCATGTCGTCAATTTACACAATTCCATTCGAAATGTTCTTCTCCGGAAAGTGACACAGACACACAGCCCAGGTATACAAGACCACTCGAAAACATGAGCAGCCCGGTAACTTCCTCAGATGAAGAGTCAATCCCTTTACCAGGTTCGTGGTGTGTGTGTGTGTGTGTGTGTGTACGCACCGATCCTCATCAAACGACTATTCCCACCCTGTTGTGTGTGTGTGTGTGTGTGTGTGTACGCACCGATCCTTATCAAACGACTATTCCCACCCTGTTTGTAACTTGGAAGAACGAAATAACAAAGTGCTTGTTCCTGTTTTTGACTTGAAATGTAGTTTGCTATTTTCGATGTGATTGATAGTATAGTTGAACAAAACAAATTTAAAAAAATGAAATTTTATTTTGTTTTAAATTAATATTTTTTTGAATTTTTAAATTGTTTTGATGTAAAAAATAATTATTTTAATATATTTTTTAAAAAATAAATTAAAATGCAATTTTTATAATGTATACCAATTCTACTTTTACAATTTTGCATAAACGATATTATGTTGTCGTATTTAAAGTTGTTAAAAATATATTTTTAATATGGTATAAAAAATATAAAATTAAATTAAATTATAAAAATAAATTATAAAATTATAAGAAATTTTAAAATACATTAAAAAATAAAAATTTATATTTTAAATAAAAATTTATATAGTTCAAGTATATTAAAATACATGTAGCATGGTACAAATATTTATATTAATTAAAAAAATAAAAAATAAAAATTGATAAACTCAAATAGGAAAAATAAATAAAGAAATGCTCACAACAAATGTTATTAACTCAAAACTAAATAGGTGAGCATCATCAAATTATATAAAATTATCATAAATAATGATTTTTTTAACATAAATAGAAACAATGATTGATTGAAATGATTGATTGAAAGTAGTTTTTTTTTTTTTTTGCAGTTATTTAAAGATATTTTCAAACCAAAAGCAATTATACGTCGTAGATTTAATTAAAGATAAAAATCAAAGGATCCATCTAATGTTGAAAGGGTTTTTTGCCTATGCTTACGATTAAATGTTATTCTTAAGGATTTTGACAAATCAAATTGTTCAAGTAATTTTCTTTCTGATAAGTTTATATAAAATAATTTTTTTTTCAAATAGTTCCAAGCATATTTTTATATCTTCATAAAATATTCATAATACATCTAAGAAAACAAATTCAGATTTGAATAAAAAAAATTAAATAAGTTTCTCGACGGCAATGCCTATCTCCTTCTGTCTCGAGAGGCCCAAGTTCTATGATCAATGTAGAGGTTGTCGAAACGCCAAATGTCATGAAAATGGTAGTCACTCTAATTCAGCATTTACGTCTTTGATCTTTCGATTTGGGGAAGGGGAAGGAAAAGTGGGGGAGTGCTGACTCAGCACTCAGCAACTGTTTTAATTTTTATGTAAAATCGTCAAATTGATCTGTTTTAAGCGATTTTAATGAGTTGTACTGATTTTACATGAGTTTTACAGGTTTTAATTGATTTTATTAATTTTTAAATTTTTATTCTGATTTAATATGTTTTTATGTTTTGATTTGTAAAATTATATAATTTTATGAGTTAAAATATATTTTTGATAACCTTGGTCACATTATTATAAACTCAGATAGTGTAAAATCTAATCAATTAAACTTTTAAAAATAAAAACTAATGATAATAATAATAATAATTACATTCACTATTACAAAATGTCATTTTAGTAGTAATTATTGTTCAATAGCTATACCGGCACTTTGCAAATAATTATTTTTATTATACAATATTATATATTTAATTAGCGACATTTATAATTTTAAAAGACAATTATATTAATTTCAGCAGTAATAATGACAGATTCTTCCTGATATTAGAACTAAAAACATTTTTCCAAGTGTCATTGAGAAATTTGAACGAGTTTGTAATTGTAGGATAAAAAGGGCGTAATACTAGAGCCTTTTTACTAATTAATTTGCAGATCTAAGATTTCAATTAGGAGGGTTTGTTGATAATTAATCGGGAGGATTATGTGAATTTTTGCAACATGAAAATCCATTAATTTTAGAAAATAGTTGCTATTGGGTTTAAAGTAAATATGCTTGGAGAACTAATACAATAACATCAAGATTCTTAGATAATAAAATAAAAGAATATTCTTATAACATTGAGAGAGAACTTGTTTAGTTTTGTATAAAATTAAAATAAAATTATCTCTAAACAATCAAATTACTTGTATTTATAAAATTAAAATAACATTATCTCTAAACAATCAAATTACTTGTATTATAATGTTAAATGATCAAAGCAGAAGGAATTACTCCAACCAAAACCATGACTTTTAAATAAAAGAAAATGAATGAATCAACTTCAAATTCAACCATGACTTTTAAATGAAAGAAAATGAATGAATCAACTTCAAATTCAAACATCAAATCAACATGCTAATCATGTATCTTAAGCATTTGGTTCACACTTCAAGTTAGAAAATATATCCTTTTCAAACTTTCATTCTTTACACTTTGATTCTCAAACTTTAATTTTTATTTATTTTAATCCCAAGCTCTTTTAATATAATAATCTAACATTTGAATTCAAACTTTCTTATACCTAACTTTCAATTTTGTGAAGTTGATAAATGTTTTTTTAAGATTCTTCGTGCAACACACATATGTGACTTTTGAGAGTGATTTAGTAATAGTTTTTTTTTTTTTTTTTGCTTATCATGTTTTTATGGTCATTTTATAAAAACTAATTTTATTTCATTCTTGAAAGATAAAATTTTAATAATAAAAAAAAAACCCCCATGGACTTTAGTTTTTTTGTTGTTGTTGTTCTAAGACTCTCTATTGGTTTTAAACTTAGAGGTGAGTTCTGAATATGTTGTCATACATATACATATTTTTCTTGAGATTTATCTTTGGACTCAATGTATTTTGCTCTCTCGACCCAAAAAAAATCGATGTAATTGTAAATTAATTATTAAGATGCAAGATCTTCATTTTTATATCTATGCGTAGTACCTTTTTTTCCAATGCATTTCTGAATTTATTGGAAACAAATTGTTGCCACAGCCAGACCGACGTTCTAACGTAAAATTAAGCATAAAACTAAAATACATTGGGTTTTCATTGTAGTTATTTTTGTTGCATATTCTCTTAGAAGTGGATTAAAATAATTGATTTTTATATAAAAAAATTAATTTGATCTTTGAATTTTTTTTCTTTGTAATTGAGCCATTTTGAGTCCAAATTTACATCCAATTGCCTTTTTTTTTCAAGGCAAGGGCTGAGTTGAAAGTCAGAAGACCAAAATGACAGATCATATAAGTGGTGACTTTGAATTTCATACAAAAATTTTACTTTAGTGCCCCTATTTTTTTGATTTATAGGTGATTTGACCCCTTTAGTTTTCAGAAATTAAATTTTAGTACCAAAGTTCATTCCTCTCATTTTTCAATCAATTTTTGTTATAGGAGAGAGAAGCTAGCCATATTCTACCTTAGAGAGAGAAAGTTATCGTTTATACCTTTTTCGATCACCAAAATA